ACTAACTGATAAGGATCTGGAAACTCATTGTGACTTCGAGAATGCAAATTCCACCCTACCCAAAGATAAATGAATTACAAATGGAATAACAGACTCATGGCAGGACAGAACTTCAGCAGTCTTTATGTTCCAATTAAGCTATTGAGTTTTGTGTATACTACTTCTTACTAATAGGAAGAATTTACTATTTCTTTCCTCATACTCAATTAATACATAATTATATTAAGCAAAAAAGGGAAAAATGTCACACACACACACTCAACAGCAAATGCCCCAATATTTTTAAGGTATTACGGCCTTCCAAAGTATCTTTTGTTTCAGAAATATTTGTACAGTGTATGTATTGTGTAGGTAAGTTTTGTTCTTGGCAAGGTAGTCCTCCTGCTTAGAAAATCAACAGCAGATAACCTTACATAAGAGGACCTTCCTATATCCCTCGAATAAAACAACTACTTAGAAACTTAATTCTTTCAAAAAGGATATGCAAAATAAAGATGATCATAAATTGTTTCTATCATCACCACTTTGCTTCTATTGATCTAGGTCAGTATTAGTGGAAAGCCACATAGTCACAGCCCATCATTCTGGAAACCTGAGAGAGTTTGAGACAACTCCTCCCTCAGTCTACACACTGCTCTCCCCAACTAGTGTCCAGAAAGTTTTTTAACATCAACTAGAATAAACTTGGGCCATTTTGTAGTCACTGCAGAGAACATGCTGCTCAAGGGTATTTAACCTTTTTGTGCCATAAACTCCTTTGGCGGTATATGAAGACTATATAGACTCTTTTTCAGAATATGTTTAAAGCAAAAATACCCACACATAAAGAAAACCAATTACATTAAAATATATTTATCATTCTTTTAAACTTACATTATTAAATACACTTATTTCTTTAATATATAAAGTCAAAAGCTCTAATGACAAGTTTATTAACTACTGTAATTTCCAAATTGTGACCAACATAAATATTTTCAAAACATCTATAACAACTGCTGTGTGATATAAAAATATTTGTGATTTCAATTAATGACAAAGCGACTGCTGATTTGCTGTGGTTCAAAGAAAATGATAAATTTCAGTTAGAGGTTAGTGAAAACAAGTATCTAGTATTTTCTCATTCAAGTTCATGGACCCCTGAAGCTTTTAAAGTATTATCACCTTGGAACATTTAAACCTCTTTGGAGCACTGGTTCAACCTCTTTATTTTATTTATTTTTTATCCTCACCCAAAGACATTTTTGCATTTATCTTCAAATAGAGCAGGAGGGAAAGAGGGAGGAAGAGAGAGAGAGAAACATCGATGTGAGAGAGACACATCGAGTGGTTGCCACCCACATGACCCCAACTGAGGCCGGGGACAAACTGCAATGGAGGTCCGTGCCCTTAGCAGGAACTGAACCCGGGCCTCTCTGGTCTGCAGGCCGATGCTCTAACCGCTGAGCCAAATCGGCCAGGGCCAACCTCTTCATTTTAAAGATAAGAAAACCAAGAGAAATTGATGATACTGCTTGCCTGAGTATCTTGATTCCAAATCATTGGGTTCTGTTTACCATAAACCACTGTTTTCTTCTGAAAACCTGAACCTCACGTCTAGCAATACTTAACACTTCAAGTTTCCACCTCAGTTTTATCATCTGTAAAATGAAGATAATAACCCAATTATGGAAGAACCTTATTGTGAAAATCAAATTTAAAAATCCATGTTAAGGTATTATGGTAGTATGTTTAAAGGTAAGATGATTACCAATGAGTACTGTGAGAAATTCAAGACAAGTTATTCTTGTATCATCAATTTCTGATTTATTTAATATGTTAAATATTTTATGCTATCAAGTGGGTCTCCCAAAGTACAAACTGATCCTAGAAATAAGCTACTTCAAGTGGGAAATGATTCATTTAGAACAAAACGTACTGGCTTTGGAGTCAGTTATTATAAGCTTTGTGCTTGTAATTCTAGGCAAATGCTTGTTTTCTCTGATCCTCCATTTCTGAATCAGCAAAATGCCATGAAGGTCATTGTCAGTCCCCTTCTCTTAAAGAGGATGATGAGGAATACATGATTCAAAGATAACCTCAACAATAAGGAAGCTTTTCTGAATTCTGCATTTATGAGTATTTACTTTATCTTCTTACATTACTTGATAGTTATTTAAAATGAAAGTATGGCATAAATAATATCCTTCCTTCATTGTCAGTATAGAATCTCTCAGCAATCTAAAACAAAACCATTCAAATAGCCAATAGGTGTTTTTCCTATAGAGAAACTCCTTTTTTAAAAAGAAATCACACAGTAAAGAAAGTATTACTACTGTGTATTAAAAAAAGAAAGAGATTAAATCCAAAGTCCATTCCCATATTTCTAAACCAGACTGAAGTAAACAAACACTTAGAGGACAAGAGTCATACAAAATAATTTAAGCACATAAGTACTTAAACATGAAAGGGGTGGGGGGGGGGGGGTGAAAGTAGAGGCAAAGCCACTCAACTTCTTCCCACATACTCTGTTTTGCTTGCCTCCATGAAAAAAATGCAAAGGGGTTGACTCTAGACATGTCAAAGTTATAGTGACAAATATGCAAGCAAACATATTAGTTGACTAGGAACAATATACATAAAATACAGTAGGTCATCCAGGGAACACAAAAGACCCATAGTACAAAGCAGATTTGTTCAACACTAACGGTGGAAAAAAAGAACCATTATCTGTCATACCCTCCTGTCGCACCCTTTATTTGTAGTCATAACTGCAAGCTGTTTTAAAGACAATGGCAATGTTATTAAGGGCACCTTCATGCTGTGCCAAAGCATATACACACAGCAATTTCAGAACAATCAGTCTTACTTTCATGAGAGCAAAGGTTGAAGCCAAATGAAATGGGTGGATACCATATTAAACAATCTTGGAATTAGCTAATAGGATATAGGAAAAAATGATCCTAATGTAGATGCTAAATTCTCTTTCTCAACACAATAAAAATTTTACTATTTGAAAAGCACTAGAGAAAAGTTCCATTTACTAAAACTTAAATATGGCCTGTTTTAAAGCACAAAGGCTTATTATTTCCTTGTATAATCTGCAAATTTAAAATATATGCACTAGATACTAGATGACATCATGTAATTTTCAAAAGGATGCTCTGTAGAAAAAAACATGTGAAAACCTTTAAATATAAGCACTGCAACTATAGAGAAAAACCAAGTGTTTCACAAACATTTAATAAAGGTGGAAATTAAATGAAGGCAACAAGTAGCACCATAAAAACGAATGCTTGGTTTGTTGTGGGTATTCTACTGCTCTTATTCCTCAGGAAACAAATTATTCTCCCATACAGTTTTCTGACTCCATGTTCCCTAATCATAATAAAGTCCAAAACATTAAGCAATTTTTTTCAAAGTATGGTGATAACATAATTCAACTTCAAAGGTTTGCTCAAGCACCTTATAAACTCTATTTGTCTTTTAAATAATTGAGGAAAGAGAACTATAGATTATATACATGCCTACATATTTAAGTAGGTCTTTCAGCTGAAATGTAAAGTTTATTTGATAAAATACTAGAGCTACTCTACTGCTAGACCACATAAGTTTATATGTGGCATTTTATCTGTTCTTATGGCATGTCAATATTTTATCCAATGCATTCAGTCTATATTACTAACATCAGTCAATACTTTCTTAACTGGCTTCAAGGCAAAAATCAGAGAAGGGGTGAAAGAGAGCTTTAACATTGATTTTTTAAAAAGATTTTACAATCATATCTATTTAGTCTTACATATATATAGTACTTAGTAGTAAATAAAGAAAATTGAAAGATAAAATTCAGGTCTTGGGAGAAATCCCACTACTGAATTGCTATCCAGTAAAAAATCTTATGAAACAATTTCACCAGCTTACTTTTAAGACTCATATTTTTTAAACTTTTTTTTCAGATGCAATTAAAACTTATATTTTAGGTTAGTTAACTGTGAGTGTGAGAGAAATCTACTACCCACACTTAACTAAAAATGAGTGTCTTCTCAGACTGGCTATTTTTTAAAAAATATTTATTTATTTATTTAGTTTAATACGTGCCCCTAGCAGGAACCGAACCCGGGACTTTCTGGTCTGCAGGCTGACACTCCAACCGCTGAGCCAAACCAGCCAGGGCTCAGACTGGCTATTTTTAATAAAACCCCAAAGAGTTTTTAAGTTCTTCAGTAGGGTTCAGCATCTACTGCCCTAGTTTGCTCTAAGAATAGAAATTGTTTATGATAACCCATCAAAAATCACAAAGTACAGCCCTAGCCAGTTTGGCTCAGCAGTTGAAGCGTCGGCCTGCAGACCAGAGAGTCCCAGGTTCGGTTCCCGCTAGGGGCATGTACCAAAATTAAAACCAAAAAAACCGCAAAGTACATAAAAATCACATTTTTAATACTTAAAAAAATAGTATTTTGAAAAACCAACCAGTCCCCATAAAGAGCTCCAAACCTAGAAAGATGAATACAATAAAAATGGGTTGGCCACCTAAATTTCTTGCTATTTACAGTGACTTTAAGCAGTCATTTATCATTATTTAAGACTGAAGCCATACTTTCAAACTTACTGGGCAGATTAAGTGAGGCAAGAAGTTTAGCCCTTGCCCAAAGCACTGCAAAAAGCAAAACAAAGGTTCATCTCATGTGTCAAAATGTCATTTTCAAAAATGCCCACAGCAAATTTTTGTACATTGGCTTCTATTTTCCTCTTCATCTCTAAAAAATGGACTATGTAACTCTTTTCTTTTTGGGTGGTGGGGGGGGTATGGTCACACATAATAAAGAAAAACATGAATGTTGCAAACCTTTTCTCAATTATATATTGAGGGAGACAGTTATTTTCTAAACAAAATGAGAAATATAAGTGAGAAAATTCAATCTGTATTATGTATTTGGAACCTACTTAAAGGTCAAAAGAAAAAAGAGCTTGATTAAACAGAACACAGAAGACTAATAGATGATTCATTTCAATCAAACACACACCTCACTCTCACTACTTTGAAGTGCAGGAACTGTCTCTTGATATTTGAGGAAGCTGCAGTTTTGGGTATTATGTTTTGCTGCTTTTGCTTTGCAAACTACCAGCTATGATCACTGAAAAAAATCATACAAAAGCATTATATTACTCAAGTTCATAATAAAATTAAGTGGTGGGTAAGTATAAGGAGACAAAAATAGAGAATAATTCATTAAAAGATTCTATTCCCCAAAAATGATTTAATGTTATGTCTAGTTAGTACCCAAATTTATACATTCTGAAGGATATTTTCATAGATGAGAATGCCAGTGATGGTGTTAATGAGACAGGGGCTGGTGTTCCAAATATTAGAGATAATCTGTTATTCTTAAGATAAAGTACAGCACTCAATGCTGGCAGATTTTTTAAAAGTTTTTAATGACAAAATGATACATTACCATAATAAAAGCTAAAATCACAAGCATATATATAGACCTAGAGCCAATTTCATTAGAAATGAAACATATATTAACTCATATTAAACAATTTAATCACTTTAGCAGTAGATATGTCATTATAACTAAGTAATAAATCCAAATACTATTCTTTCCCTTGTGCATCCTTACAAAGTGTCAGATTGTTTGATTTATTTTCTGATGTAAAATCCTAAATTTGTTTAATACATACAAACATATACATTTTGAATAAACACCCATTACTGAGGCCATTTTAACCCACATTATTTTTTTAAATGCTAAATGAGATAGTATATCCCTCCATGATTTAGTTAAATCCTAAGAATTTTCCACCACTATTCTTTCTGAAGTACATCTAGCAGTGTAGTTACATTTGGTTAAAACATTAGATTATGATACTTCTTATATTAAAATCATAACATCAATGCCCTGGCCCGATAGTCCAGTTGGTTAGAGCATCGTCCCGATACACCATGGTTGCAGGTTCAATCCCCGGTCAGGGAACATATAAGAATCAACCAATGAATGTTTACATAAGTGTAACAACAAATCGATTTCTCTCTCTCTCTCTTCCCACCCCCTCTCTAATCAATAAACAAATTTTTTAAAAAATATTAACATCAATCCACTAAAAAATAACATAAAACTGACTCCTAGTCAGGTACTTGATCAACAAAATCACTCATTATCAAAGTACAGATTCTCCTTCCTCAAAGGATTAAGTGTACAGTTTTATAGAGAGAAAGTCTACGTGAAAGAAAGTCATGGCAATTTAATTTATTATATATCAAAGTCTCTCAATTTAGAATCTACCCTAACTCCAAATCTAGTATTATAGGAGAGGGTAACATAATCTATGGTAGGAAAACCCCACAAAATCCTCTACTGGTGGAAATAATCAGAAAACAGGCTCTTCTAATACCTACAGGGGGTGATTGCTGGAAAGTGGCATGAAATATCTGTTTAAGACAAGGAAACAAAAAGCATAGAAACATGGGACTTGCTCATTAGTTTATTCTTTTTTTTTTTTTTAAGTACTTTTTTATTGATTTTTTAGAGAGAGGAAGGGAGAGACAGAAACATCGATTAGCTGCCTCCTGCTAGCACGCCCCTACTGGGGATTCAGTGATGAAGAACAGAGTACTAAACAAAACTTTCCAAATCTAAAAGCAAATGCATTAAATATTCAGCTACAAAGCCCAATTTTGTAAAACCAAACAGACAAGTTTGGACAACTAATGAGGGCAATCATAATAAATACACTTACTTAAAGTCTCCTAAACCTAATCTGCAGTATTTTTTTTTTTTTATCCTCACCCGAGGACATTTTTCCATTTTTTGTTCAGATAGAGTGGGAAGGAGAGAGAGGAAGAGAGAGAGAAACATCGACATGAAAGGGATACATCGAGTGGCTGCCACTCGCACAACCCAACCAGGGCCAGGGACAGACTGCAACCGAGGTACGAGCCCTTAGCAGGAACCGAACCCAGGTCTCTCTGAACCGAAGGCTGACGCTCTAACCGCTGAGCCAAACCGGTCAGGGCAATTCAACTCCTGGCAACACAAACAAAATATATTTCAGTTCCCAGCTTTAAAAGAAACTAGAGAAAGTGTTTCAAGTATTAAAGATTCATTTGTGCAGAATCCTAAATCCTTCATAAATTACTATGTTTTAATAATAGCTCTTTAAGATCTGTCTTTCCAAAATCACTAGTAATCATTATTGAATACTTCCAAACTAGGCCCAAAGGTCAAATAAATAAGACAAACTAGGCCCAAAGGTCAAATAAATAAGACAAACAGCCTGGCCAGGATGGCTCAGTGGTTGAGCGTCGACCCATGCACCAAGAGGTCACCGATTCAATTCCTAGTCAGGGCACACGTCCAGGTTGTGGGCCAAATCCCCAGTGAGGGGCATATAGGAGGCGGCCAATCAATGTTCTCTCTCATCGATGTTTCTGTCTCTCTCTCTCTCTCCCTCTACCTTCCTCCCTCTCTAAAATCAAGAAAGAAAGAAAAATATTTTTTGAAATAATAATAAGACAAACACCAGCCCACCCCATCTATGGTACTGATTCTAACAGGGAAAACAAAAATAGTTACATAACAAGTAAGAGGTAAAACTATAAAAGTCTTAGAAGAAACATAGGCATAAATCTTCATGACCTTGGATTAGGCAATGGTTTCTTAGATATAACACCAAAAATTCAAACAAGAAAAGATAATTTGACTAGACCAAATTTAAAATTTTTTCATTTAAACCATAAAGTAAAAAAAACACACAACCTCCCAGAATGGGAGAAATACCAGCAATTAATATATCTGATAAGGGATTGTATCTGAAATATACAACAAACTCTCATAACTCAATAATAAAAAGACAAACAACCCAAATAAAAAATGAGGAAAAGATCCGAATAGACATTTCACCAAAGACTATGCTATACATGCAAAGATGCTCAACATCATCAGCCATCAAAGAAATGCAAATCAAAACCACAATGAGATACCACTTTACAACCACCAGAATGACTAGAATAAAAAAGATAATAAATGTTGGCAAGGATATGGATAATTAGAACCCTCATACACTGGAGCTGGAAAATGAGAAGCACAGTTTTGGAAAACAATTTGGCAGTTCCTCAAGAGGTTAAACATAGAGTTACCATATAATGCAGCAATTCTACTCCTAGATATGTTCTCATGAGAATGAAAAGTGTTCATACAAAATCTTGTAAACAGATGTTTATAACAGCATTATTCATAAATGCCAGGAAGAGGAAACAACCTAAATGTCCGTCAATTGATAAATGAATAAACAAATTATGGTATATACATAAGTGGATTATTCAGCCATAAAAAGGAATGAAGTATTTATACATGCTGCAACATGGATAAACCTTGAAAACATTATGCTAAGTGACACAAAAGACGACATAATGTATGAGTCCATTTATATGAAATGTCCAGAATAAGCAAATCTGTGAAGACAGAAAATAGATTTAGTGTTTGCAGTGGCTGGGAGGGGTGTGGGGAATGTGAAGTGACTGCTAATGAGCACAGGGATCCTTTCTGGTATCTTTATGATAGCAAGTGAAACTCTCATGATTTGAATCAAATGTTCTAAAACTGATTTTGGTGATGGTTGCATGACTCTATCACTCAACAGTACACTTTACATAGGTTAATAGTGTGGTATATAAAATTACATTTCAATAAAGCTGTTACTAAAAAATAATAATAATGTTTACAAAGCACTGTGAAGAAGTACAGGATATTAAGGAAACCTAAAAAGGAACTCTGAATCTGTGGAATCAGAGAAGAGTTAAATGAACACCTGATGCATAAATATTTTAAAGCACAAAAGGGCACGGCATGTGTGAATAACTACGATTAGCTAAAAGAATTCAAGAATGGCTGGAGTAGAGGGATGAGGTGGAAGAGAAAGTAATAACAGCTCATATTTACCAAACCTTTACCTATGTGCCAGGCATTGCTTACACCAAACCCTAAAATATATTAATATACTTAATCCTAATAATTCTTTAAGGAATGGATGGTTATAATCCATTTAAGAAAACTGAGGCATAGTGAAGTAACCTGCCCAAGGTCACAGCAACTGGTGCTATCATGACTTGAACCAAAGCATTCTGGCTCCAAAGTCCCACAATCCTTAACACTTTAGCACCCACCCTTTCCTGGAAATTGCCTATCAGTTACAACAGACATAGTTTTGTACATTCATCCTATATAGTAACCAGATACATCATACACTTATACACAAATTTATTTGGTTAACTTGGATTTAGAGACCATGTTTTATTATACTTAACTTTTAATCTCTGGAATCACACTCAGTAAAGCAGGTTGATCACTTAGTAGCTCTAAGAATTGAAACTTTCTCAAAGATATTTCCTGTCACACACTTAACTGGGGGTGTGGAAATGGGGGCATTTACTCATTATATTAAAATTATAACTATTTCATGTGTATGACTGTCTGTGTATGTGTATATGTATATATACATATCCTCAACCCATATAGTGGAATGTGCTTAGAACTTACGAGTACTTGTGTAAGAAAGTGAATCAAGCTTACGTTTCTAGTGTGAACATCTGTGTGGATTGATAGTGCCTGAAAAGACGGTTGGGAAAAAAAAATCTGAGCCCAGTTGAGCTGGAAGAACTATGAGATATCAAAGTCGAGATGAATAAAAGGCAGGTGGATCTATGGACCTGGTCCTTAGAAGAACTGGACCAGGGAGGTAAATTTAGAAGTCTGGGCACACAGCATGGTAACTCAAGCCATGATAATAGACTAAATGCCTAAGGAGAAACCATACACAGAGAAAAGGTCTTAAAACATTAGTTTTCAAATTTAAGCAAGCATCACAATTACCTGGAGGGCTTGTTAAAACACAGATGTCTGGGTCCCATCCCCAAAGTTTCTGATTCAGTAGGTCTAGGTGGGCCTAAGGATTTCCACTCCTAACAAGCTCCAAGGTAATATTGATGTTGCTTATCTGGGGAGCCACATTTAGAAAACCAATGGCCTACAGCAAAGCCCTACAGAACTCTTAAATCAAAATAGAGGATAAGATACTTAAAAACGAGACCAGGTGGAGCCCTGACTCAAGTAGGAGAAATGCTACTTCAATTAAA